CAGCAGCAGCCGACAGACTCTCCACAGCAGAGGCAGATGCAGATAGATGTGCAGATGCCGCCGATGCAGCGTGCTGTGCCGACTTGGCCATCGTACGACACTGTGATCTGACGAGAGATGAGCTTGTCGCATCATCTTCGGGAGGTGCCGCAGTGAAGGAATTAGCAATGCAGACAAATTGTCACGAGACGACGCTACGTGACTCGCTCGCTACCCTTGAGCTTCGTGTATTCGCTGCTGAGGAAGATGCAACGCATGCTTCGAGCGCCACCACCCAGGTCGAAATGGAACTCACTGAAACTCGTGCCAAACATAATTTCCAGTGTGGCAGCTACTCGGGTATGGGCGAGAGAGCACCTTTGGAAAATCCACTTGTAAGCAGCGCCAAGGAACTGGCGCAGGACCGTGAGGAAGGCCTTGCAGCCGTGACAAAGCAACTTCTTGATGCGCAACGCGCATGCAAGCTTGCAAGTGTCAAGGTAGCACGCCTCAACGTTGAACGCGATCGTGATGCTGCATTGCGCGCAATGAGCAATGCAGAACGAACTCGCTTCCAGCGCGCTATGGATGCGTTGGCAATGGAGCAGCAGACGACGCTCCTGGCTAGCGATGCCATAGCTACTGTGCAACTCGCAGCCGAAGATAGTCAAGCTCGGCTCGATTTACAAAGCGAACAAGGTCGTGATCTCGATGGTATTCAGGTGATGCTGTATGATGAACAATTAGCTGCAGAGGCTGCATGCGCTGCTCAGGGCTACCTAGTGGACTCACTGGATCAATGCGTGGCCCCGGAGACGGCCGCAACAGCTTCCACCGTTGGCCAACTGGGGCACGCAATGCGCATTACTGCTGATATTTCTGGTGCTCTTCGTGATGCGCGCCGCCAAGAGGCAAAGACCCGTATCGAGCGGGATGAGGCAGTGGCTTGCGTGTCAAATAAAGCGTCCCGATCTGCCGCCACTTCCGTCAAAGTGCGCGATGTTATTGCGAGACGTGCACTCCTCAATGCTGAATTAGACGTAATGCGAGATTCTTTGACAATCGCTCAAGTCAAGCTTGGAGCACGAGACCGAAGAGATTGTGAAAATCAATGGGTCAAGCACCTCTGGCAGCAAGCTGCTCAGCTCTTTGAAGGCGAGAATGGTTTGTGCAATATTGATCAAATCCTGCCTGATAGTGATTTAAAGGACGAAGCTCGTAATCACCATGTTTTGGATGATAGGCGCAGTGCCGCTTCGATAGAAAATTATGACAGCGAATATCAAAGGGAAATACCCAACATTGGTGCAATTCATCCTTTATCAGAGGCTTTGTCAGGGGTAGTCAGGGATGCGGCACGGAATCTGCGTTCTGAATTAAATAACGAAGAGAATCGGCGTCGGAAACTAGCGATTGAGGTCGAAACACTCAAGCAAGAGGCATTACGCCGCAGGCCACTACGGACAGTATTGCGGCGTTTTGAGGCTAATCGCAACAAGGCACTTGCTGAGCTTGATTTGGCGGTCAGGCATGCGTCCGTTGCAGAAAGTAGTGTAGTGGCTCTCAGAGAGGAAGTTTCGTCTTGCGCAGAAAACGCCACCTCGGCTCTTTCTAAAACTGCTGTCGCTCTTGGTAGCGCAGAAGTGCTGCGAGCCTCGCTTCTTGTTGCCCACGGCCAGGTCGAACGCGCCGCCGCGGAGGCGGAAAGGATGCGCGCGGCAAGCCTTGTGACAGAGGACGACGCTGCGCAAGCCAGCACGACCCTCGATCAGAGACGCGTTTTAGCGACACACGTAGCAAGCAACAGAGCACGCGGTGCTGTTGTTCGCTCTTCCATCGAGACTGCACGCATGATTGTCGGCAAAGCCGCAGTTGGTGCGAATGCGGAGCGTGATGATCTTGCTCACCGTGCAAAACAGGAGCTCGAAGTACGCGATGTTGCTGGGGCAGTGAACGAGACACAATCATACTTATTGGAGAGCGGTCGACGTGAAAGGCGCGACTCTCTTGCCAAACATGTCGCTGACTTGCAGAAACTTCACATGCTTCATGTGCGTGCTGATGAGGAAACGACCACAATTCGTAAAGCAGTCACCGCGGCTGCTCGTTCGGCAAGATGCCATGACACTCGTCTCCGGGATCGTCTCCTCCTCTCCGCTTGCACCAGTGATAGTATTGTCGCCACCGCCTCTACCCATCTCCGCCACGATACTAACGCCGCTCAGATCAAGGCAAAACATGCTCTTGAATCACGCAAAAGATTGACAGAGGCCATTCAACAGAAGAAAAGCACAGTCGAAACTATTGTACATTTGCATGCTAAGGTCAGTGCTGACGTCGACATAACGCGAGCCAAGCTTGTCTCACTAAGAGACGAGCTTGCCATCTACCAAAAGCTTGCCATCTACCAATCAAAGCACCACAAGATATGCACTGCAGGGGTTTCCAAACACCGCCCCACCGTTGGCGACAGCACAGCCAATATCGGCAACGCATCATCCTGGGTTGAGCTGGCTACAGAGGATTGGGATCGCGCTTTCATATACAATAATAGTAGATGAGTTTTTATTAACAACTACGCCGTTTTGATGGGTTCGTCCCGCAATATATGCACGAGCACTCGGGCCGAGGCGGTATATGGGTTTAGCCACACATATCTTGACCTGCACAACAAAATCGTATCTCCTTAGGGAACAAAGTATTCTTGATCTCCACTCAGAGCAGCCTTTTCCTAAGGCACGAGGAGGATGCTGTCATTCAAACTCTGATTGCCTCCTGCGCGCCACACAGAAAGGAATCTCTTCAAGGAACTTTATCTGGCACGGCGTTCAACCTTGACGTCGGTGCCGATATCTTTTCAAGCGCAACTGCCGCTTACCTTGCCATGTAGCCACGGTGCATGCTGTGGTATCTCAAGACAAGCAAGTTCACATGTTCACAAGTCTCAGCTTTTGCAGTAGTCATCCAAACAAGAATTATCATGACGAGCGTTTGCGAATGACTTACCCGCTACCTCCTAGGTATCCTAAATGGGATTTTGTCAGACGGACCAACTGGTGACTCCCAGATCAGGCCCCGTCGGGCCTGACCTACGGGGTCGCGCGGCCCGTCCAGCCTCCCGCCGCGTGCGCCTTCGTGTCCCCGGGCCCCATTCCCTAACTAAGACCAGACTAAGACCCCCAGTTTCCCCCGATATGCTGAGTCGCGACCGCAAGTCGCGACGGGGATCTACAGACCCGAGCCAGAAACAAGTGTTATCTGATTTGGTGAAGGTAGACGAACGGAGCCGCAAAAAAGCACTGAAAGGGCCGAAGCCTATGAAATACATGGACGCAGATGGTATGGCTCTTCTTGGCCTGGGAGCCGGTACCGCTCGGCAGGAACGAGTCGTAGTTGCCCGCGAAGTTGTCCTCCTCGTACTTCCGCA